CGCTGGGGACGTTGCCAACCCTTCAGTCAAAGGCCTGCGTGAGCAAGCTCGTCCTCCTTCTCCTCCTCCTCCTCCTCCTCCTCCTCCTCCTCCTCCTCCTCTCCAAGGCAATGGACGGTCCCTGCGACGGCGAAATCACCGTAAAAGCATCCACGACCCTGTAGATCGAGAGGGCTCTGTTAGGGGGCAGGGCCCCAGTCGGGCCGGCCGCGCAGCACGAGGCCCCCCAGTGGGGAGGGATTGCCCTCCGAGGGGTGCCTGCGGGCACCAGCAGGCTACCCTTAAGTCGGGCCTGTCCCCCATACAGGGGGATTTTCGACGAACAATTAAAGAATACCCCAAAATACCCCAAACATGTAAAAGAAATGCTCGAAAAATAGTCCCGGAGTATTTTTTTGATCAATTGTGGATTATGTTGGGGGTATTTCCCCACATCCACAGTGGGGTTCTTGTTTTCTCTGGACACCCCGCGCAGGAACAGGAACACACACACACACACACACACACTCACACTCACTCACACTCTCTCATCATCAACCTCATCAGCATCATCGATGATGCTCTCTCACATGCTTAGTCACTCACATACTCATCATCATCATCATCTCGCACTCTCTCACACGCTCACGAACATCATCATCATCATCATCGGCATCGGCATCATCCTCATTCAAACATCATCATCGCCACCACCACTCACAATCAATCATCATCCTCTTCACCACTCATCTTCACCACCACTCATCATCCTCATCCTCATCATCGTTGAGTAAATTGTGAGGAAGTCTCAGGCGGGAGCCCCCTCCCTATGGGGCCCGCAGATCATGTTGGTAATCCGAGCGGGTCATCGGAACCCTGTAACTGTCGTCACTTTTGGGCTCCCCAGCCTGAAAATGGAGGAAGTCTCAGGCGGGAGCCTCGTCTGTGAGTGAATTGGGAGGAAGTCTCAGGCGGGAGCTCCCTCCCTATGGGGCCCGCAGATCATGTTGGTAATCCGAGCGGGTCATCGGAACCCTGTAACTGTCGTCACTTTTGGGCTCCTCAAGCCTGAATTTGGAGGAAGTCTCAGGCGGGAGCCTCGTCTGTGAGTGAACTGCGAGGAAGTCTCAGGCGGGAGCCCCCTCCCTATGGGGCCCGCAGATCATGTTGGTAATCCGAGCGGGTCATCGGAACCCTGTAACTGTCGTCACTTTTGGGCTCCTCAAGCCTGAATATGGAGGAAGTCTCAGGCGGGAGCCTCGTCTTTGAGTGAATTGTGAGGAAGTCTCAGGCGGGAGCCCCCTCCCTATGGGGCCCGCAGATCATGTTGGTAATCCGAGCGGGTCATCGGAACCGTGTAACTGTCGTCACTTTTGGGCTCCTCAAGCCTGAATATGGAGGAAGTCTCAGGCGGGAGCCTCGTCTGTGAGTGAACTGCGAGGAAGTCTCAGGCGGGAGCCCCCTCCCTATGGGGCCCGCAGATCATGTTGGTAATCCGAGCGGGTCATCCAAAACCTGTAACTGTCGTCAATTTTGGGTTCTCGCGCTGCCAGAACGCAGCTCCCAGGCCACATTTTGGACGCAACAAGGAAGTTTTTGGGCTCCTCAGGTCGCCGAGGTGCTGCGACAGGGCGCCGAAGGCGCCGACGACGACGGCCAGGCCGAGGCGCGGGCGCGGAGCTTGCTGATGTTCAGGCCCAGCGAAAGGGAGTTCACATGGCAGAGCTCGGGGGCGCACAGCGTGCGCCGCTCGGGGTTCACCCTGACGCACGCGTCCTACCTGACCTCCACGCTGTCGCAGGGCCAGACGCTGCGCAAGGGCGTCACCATCGACTGCGCGAGAGACGAGGACGCTGGCCGCACGGGCATGTCGGACGAGCAGTGGTGGCTGCACCTCTACGTCATGTTCTCCCGCGCCACGTGCATGCGGAACATGCTGATCCTGCGGCCGCCGCCGCGAGAGTTCCTGGAGTGCGGGCCGCCGGCGTCCCTGCGGAAGGCGCTCCTGGAGTTCGACAAGAGAGCGGTTTTGTCCAGGGCGGAGGCGAAGCAGCTCGCGGCAGAGCTGGGCTTCGTGCTGCCTTCCGCCTGAGCGCGGCTGCGCCTCGCTCGAAGCCCGCGGGGTTGTCCCAACGGCTTGGTCTTGCGCGCCAACGGCTCGCGGGGTTGTCCCGACAGCCTGGCCCGCGGGGTTGTCCCAACGGCTGCGCGACGTGACCAGTAGAGAACGCGCCTGTGCTGGCCGTGGCGGCGACGGCGCCGAGGAACATCGACATGCGCGCTCATGCAACAGGAAGGGGAGGAGGTGGCGGGGCGCGGAACAAACAGGGGGGCGAGGATGGGGACAACGTAAGGAGTGGAAGGGGGGCCCGCGCCAAGGCGAGAGGAAATATACGCAGAAGAGACAGCCAGGACGCCTCACCAACCACGAGGACGACGGTGATGGCTTTTTCCAGATTCGCCCAGAGGATTCTTATGTGGGGTTCTTCCGTCGGAGTATTTTTTTGATTTTTCGTCGAAAATCCCCCTGTATGGGGGACAGGCCCGACTCAAGGCTACCTTCCTGAGATCCGATGTCGTGATCTTTTCACTGCGGGGTCCCCGGAAGTCTCGACCCACTCCCAGCACCGCTTTTTCATCCTGAGCCGTTTGTTGACGGTCCCGAGGCCCAGTGAGGGCTCTAGAGGCCGAAATTTGCAAAAAAACATAAAAACAAATCCTTCATGTTTTTTTCAATACGTTGGATCTCCTGGGCTTCCACCACGGCGACGCGACGGGTCCACCCACCCCCCACCCCCGCTTCGGGAGGGGGCCGGCGCGCGCCTGAGCTTGGCCCCCGCGTCCTTGCGTCCGATTTGGCGCGGTCAGCGGCGGCAGCCGACAGCCTGACAGCCTCTCCCTCCCAGCCCAGCTCCTGCCCACCCACCCCGCTCCCCACAAGCCGATCCCATCACGTGGCACGGATGTCTCGGACGAGATCTCGGGAGACGAGGGAAGCGAGGCGAGAGCTGGGAGCTAGATTCGGGAGGCGCTGGAGCGGGAAAGGGGCAGCCAAGAGAGAGGAGGAGGATAAGCGAGAGGACGTCAGAGCAGCAGCAGCAGCAGCAGCAGCAGCAGCAGCAGCAGCAGCAGATCTCGCCTCACGGGAAGCTATTTGCGCAGTAGCGGACACTGCCAAAGCTGCAGATTTTCTTTTGGGATTTCCGAGGCGGAGAAGGCGAGGTATGAACACTAGCAGAAGACACAGCCAGAGTTCCACCATAATCATCAGAGTCATTGTGAGGTATCGTCGGCATCGTCAAAGCCGGGATGCTAATGACAGCCAGAGTTTCACCATAATCAGAACCATTCAAAACCTAAGGTATCGACGGTATCGTCGGCATCGTAGAAGTCGGGGTACCTACGACAGCCTGAGGTCCTCTGGAATCAGAGCCTTTCAAAACCTGAGGTATTGGCGGCATCGTAGAAGTCGGGGGGCAAGTTTCAGCCTGAGGTCCACCAGAATCCGAGCCATTCAACATCTGACGTACAGGCGGCATCGTAGAAATCGGGGTGCCACTTACACCCTGAGGTCCACCAGAGTCAGAGCCATTCAAAACTGGTGGTATCGTCGGCATCGGCGACGACGAAGTCGGAATACTAGCAGAAGCCACAGCCAGGGATTCGCCAGTAGAATCTGAAGGGCCATTCAAACCTGTATATCTGCATCCGCGTAGACGCAGAGCGCAAGACACACTCACCCTCATATTCATGATTGCTTTTCATCACCTCGCCATGCCGATCGACTATCTCAATCTTCAGCCCATCCTCGAACGCCACTTCTGAATCGCGCGCTCCCCTTGGCTTCGCGGCGCCGCCCCGATCAGGCGCTGGGCGTTCAGCTCGGTCAGACTTCGGTGCATCAGGACGTTGAGCTTGCGGCCGCCTTCCGTGTCCGTCAGGATGTACAGGCGCAGCTTCACCATCTTCTCCATGCGCTTGCTCTTCTCGCCACGAGGCTGCTGGAACGAGATCGTGCGGATCATGAGTGAACGGTCGGGGGGCGCCTTACTTACCCTGAATGTACGTCGTCCAGAGCTGCTCCATCTCGTCTTCGTGAGCACTTGCTGCGGCCTCCTCGCGAATCTCCGCCAGCACGTTGAAGACGACGATGAGCGGTGGCCCCAGGTTCGCGGTGTCGACGCTTAGGTAGGAGGCTGCCTTTGCCTTCTGCTGGCCCGAAGGCCTGATTTGGCCAGCCACGTCTCTTCCGAGAGGCGAGGTGTCGTCAATACTGGCCACGATGTCTGCGATCGCATGAGAGTTGGCCAGGGGGCTGGCGCGCATCCACTTCAGGGTCGCCAAGTCGCTGCCGCCGCCCGTCGGGCCGTCGGAGCCTTGAGACGGACCTCCGCCTCCTTTGCCACCTCCAGCCCCGCCGGCTGTCAGGATCAGCTTCGTCGCGGGCCCAGGAGGACAAGGCGGGCAAGGACGACAAGGAGGGGGACAAGGAGCACGACGAAGACGAGGGAGGGATGATGAAGGCGGCAGAGGCGGCGGAGGAGGAGTAGGAGGAGGAGGAGGAGGAGGAGGAGGGGCAGGAGCAGGAGGAGCTGGAGGAGCACGATGACGACTGCGAGGATGCAGGGACGGAAGGTGGACAGGAGGAGGAGGAGAAAGAGGAGGAGGAGCAGGAGCAGGAGCAGGAGCAGGAGCAGGAGCAGCAGGAGGATGAGGAGGAGGAGGAGGAGGAGGAGGAGGAGGACGAGGAGGAGGAGGAGGAGCAGGAAGGAGCAGGATGAGGAGGACGAGGAGGAGGACAAGGAGGAGGAGGAGGAGGAGGAGGAGCAGGAGCAGGAGCAGGAGCAGGAGGCGGCGGAGCAGTCGTCTATGCCGCCGCCGCCGTCGCCATCGCTGTCGTCCGCCGTCGCTATCGCCGCCGCCGCCGCCTCCGCCGTCGGCGGCGTCGGCGTCGACGGCCGACGTGCCCGGCCGGTGGCCCTGGGCGGCCACCGCTGCCGCGAGCGGCCGCGGCCGGCGAGGCTCTACCACGCCATGGCGGCGTCGGTGTTCGGCGCGCGCGGCGGCTCCGGCGGCGCAGGCGAGGAGGAGGAGGAGGAGGAGGAGGAGGAGGAGGAGGAGGAGGAGGAGGAGGAGGAGGAGGGGGAGGGGGAGGAGGAGGGGGAGGAGGAGAGGAGGGGAGGAGGAGGAGGAGGAGGAGGAGGAGGAGGAGGAGGAGGGGGAGGAGGAGCTCCGAAGCCTCTGGGTCGGCGGCCCTGCTGCAGCTCAGGCCTCGGGAGTCTCGCGGCGGGGGTCACGGCGAAGGAGGGGGATCAGCCAGAGCGACAGAGCTGGCAGGATCCTGCACAGCCAGGGTTGCATTGGCCCGGGCCAGCGCGCAGGATCCTGCAGGATCACGCAGGACCCTGCAAGTCCTGACTGGCCCGGGCTTGCAGTGCCCCGGCGGGTCAAGCCCGAGGGTTTCCCCGCTTCGAGGTTCAAGGTGCTTGGGACGCATTCGCTTCGAGCTTCGAGGCTCGAGCTTCGAGGCTCGAGGTTCGGCGTCGTCGTTTCGAATGTTTGCGTGGAGCTCCCGGAGGTCCTCGTCGCCGCGGCTGGGCGCAGCTCCAAAAAACTGGCCAGGATGGGCCCCCGGAGGGGTCAGGGGATCGATTAAGAATGGATTCGGGTCGAAGCTTATAATGTTCCAACCTACTTTGGCCTTGACCGCCGGAAAGAATCTCGAGAACCAGAAAAGCACCCCGAAACTGGAGGGTCTTCACGTGTCGGGCCCTGGGGGGCACTCGTTCGACACTCTTTCGACGCTCTTTCGACACTTTTCTTCCGGGTGCTCGAACTTATTTCTGGGATGTGATCCTTCAGTACGGCGGGAGCAACATAAGTCGAAGCGAGGTTTGAGGTTGTCGGACGTTTTCGTAGGTTCCTGGCGGTTTCCCGGCCTCGGGGTGCTTTCCAGCAGCTGCGCCTCGCCGAGAGCGCTCTCGGGGTGCCCCGGTCGCCCTGGACGGCCGCTGGAGACCCGAGCTGACGCCCGAAAACTGGATGTATTCGTCGTGGGAGCCTTAAATCGGGCACGTCCCTCTACAGGAGGAATCATCAAAAATAGGAAGAAAACATCCGGGGACGATTTTTCTAGCACTTTCTCTGACCATTTGGGGGCATTTTTGATTACATCTTGAAATTTTCGCCCCGAAGTCCCCCTGTAGGAGGACATGCCCGACCTAATGGGAGCAACACCCCTCACCGGGCCCTGGGTCCCTCCACAAGCAGCTAGGGGCGAGAAGCCGGTCCCGGGGAAGGGTCCAGGCTCCCTAAGGGTCGGATGCGGCCAAGAGGGGGGTGAGGACTAGGGGGGGGGTATCATGGCGTGGGCCACGAGATCTCCCCAGATTTCAGGGCGCCTCCTCTGAATTCCATTGCATCCCCAGCCCCACCCCTGGGCCGCGCACATGCTGCCGGCCAGGTTTTGCGCCCCCCCCCCCCCTCTTGGACGCCCCCCTTTTGGTCGACGCCACCAAAAATAACGACGTCGGAGTTTCGGGAGGGGGCAGGCCGAGTGGGCCAGCCTTCTGAGCAGGCGGCAGGGCTTCTCAGAAGGCGCAGGGGCCTCTGAGGAACCGCCTGTGGCTTCGTAGAAGGCTTAGAGCTCTTTCCCAGAGCCCCGAGTCATCAGGGGTAACTCGGGTCAGGGCTGGCTCGGGTTCGTTTTTCGGGAATTCGAGCCCGAGTTACCCCGGGCCCGAGTTACCCCGGATAATTCGGGCGTCCAGAGCCCCAAATCATCAGGGGTAACTCGGGTCAGGGCTAACTCGGGTTCGTTCTTCGGGAGTCGAAACCCGAGTTACCCCGGGCGCGAGTTACCCTGGATAATTCGGGCGCCCAACTTTCTCAGAAGGCGGGAGGGTTTCTGAGAAGGCCGAACCTCTCTGCTCTTCCCCCCAAGGCGCGCCGCCAATCCGAAGCGTCGTCGTTGTCATCTTTAGCAGCGTCGTCGGCGTCTCGTTTTTGGTGTTGTTGCTTGTTGACTGTTGTTCGTCCCCTCCCTGCCAGCCGGCAGCTGCTTTTCAAAGCCAAGTTGCGCCAGTCGACGCAACCACCTTGCTCTTTAGTTGTCCGGGGAATGTCAGCGTTTACGCAGGAACCGCGCTCTCGCTTGATAGCTCCTTGCTCCTTGCAACTTACTGAAGAATTTCGAAGAACCAGGCTTTGGCTTTGGATTTACATGCGCACTGCTCAGTTTTCGCGCGCTCGCCTTTCAGGAATTGCGCTCTTGCCTCGGACTCCGTTTCAATATATTCACGAAGAGCCTTCTCGATGGAGACGTTCTGACAATTTTCTCATTAATGTCGCTCTCGCTCAGGACCTCCTCACAATTCACTTGGACAACGCGCCCTGGGAAATCTGGAAGCGCGCTCTCGCCTGGGACCTCCTCGTCTCCGTCTTCTAAGCCACTCCCGCCCGCCCCGCTCGTCAGGGTCCGCCCGCCCGACCCGCCCGTTGGGGTCTGCCCGCCCGACCCGCCTGTCAGGTTCCTGCAGGCAACCCGCCTAGTAAGGATGAGCAGCTTCCCAAGGTCACCCTTGCATCCTCCCCCCCTCGTCCCATCCTTGGCCGCCTTCGCAGCGTGTCGACACGCCCTTCCTGGGGCCCTTGCACCCTCCCCCTTGCGCCCTTGTCACACGGGTGGCCTGCGCCCGCCTCTGGGGACCCGCCCGCCCGGGCCCGCCCGGGTGCGGCCTGCCCGTCCCCGACACGCCCGCGCGCGCCTCTCACGCCCCGCCCGCCCGGTGAGGTCCCCCTCCTCCCCAGAGATCCGACGTCGTGATTTTTTCAATGCGGGGTCCCCGGAGGTCTCGACGCATTCCCCAGGACCGGTTTTTCGTCCTGAGTCGTTTTTTGACGGTCCCGGGGCCCGGCGAGGGCCTATAGAGGTGGAAAATTAAGAAAAACCTGCGCCTTGATTTTTTCAATGCGTTGGATCTCTGGGTCCGCTGCTTGGAAGCCCGCGCGCTCGCCCAGCCCGCTCGTTGGGGCCCGCCCGCCCGCCAGGACGAAAACCCGCCCGGCCCGCCCCGCCGGGCCCGCCCGCCCGGCCCGCCCGGTCTCGGGCCCGCCCGCCCGGGCCCGCCCGTTCGGGCCCGCCCGCTCGACCCCCGCCCGTTCGGGCCCCCGCTCGCCCGGCTCGCTTATTTCGCTCCCTCGGGGTGTCGGGGCTCAAGCCCAGAGATCCAACGTGTTGAAAAAATCAAGACGTAGGTTTTTCTAAAGTTTTGGCCTCTAGCGGCCCTCGCCGCCCCCTGGGACTGTCAAAAAACGACTCAGGATGAAAAATCGGTCCTGGGAAATGGGTCGAGACTTCTGGGGACCCCGTCCTGAAAAAATCACGACATCGGATCTTTGGGAGGGACCCCCTCCCTCCCCTCCCTCAAGGGACGGGGGTCGATGCAGACGGGGGTCGGCCAGAGCGCCAGATCCTGCAGGAGTCTGGGAAGCGTGCGGTCGCGGCGGTCGTCGGCAATCTCAACGACTTCGACTCGGAGACCGCCGCGTCCGCAGGGCCAGGGTCGCATTGACCCGGGCTTGGGCGCAGGATGCTGCAGGATCCTGCAGGGTCCTTCGCATTTGACCTGGGCTTGGGTGCAGGGACTTGCAGGATCTTGCAGGATTCTGCAAGGCCTGATTGACCCAGGTCTGGATTGACCCGGGTCAGCAGGTCCCCGACGATGGGGTTTACCCAGGAGTTAGAACGAACAAAAATCAGCCTCCACCAAGGAGCACGTTCACAAGCATATCAGAAAAGGTGGGGATCGAGGGGCTGGGGTGTGCACTGTGGCACGCGGGCCATGAAGAGCGAACAGTCTGAAAATGATTGTTGTTGCCTTTGTTGCTGTTGTTGGTGTTGTTGTGGTGGTGGTGGTTGTTAAGTTCCCACTCCAGAAGCATAATTAGTGACGCTTCGCGTGTCCTGCGTATTCTACTCACCAGCCCATCCAGAAACGATGCCCATGCGAGTTGCTTATATGAGGAGGGACGTCGAAGGAGGGGAGGAGGATGCAGAGGAGAACGAGAATTTGCAGGAGGAAGACCAGGAGGACGGCCCTCGTAGGGCTCTTTGGGGGTATTGGGGTCTTCTTGGGGCGATGGCTCAGAAAAGAGGGTGCACTCAAAGAGGGTCATCCCCTCAGGGGCCGAAACGTTGCCTCTCGGGGCCCTCCTGCGGCGATTTGGGGGGCCTCTTGGCCTATCTTTGGGCCCTTTTGGACTCCCCTTGGGGCTGTCTGGGACTTTCTCGGGCCCATCGTGAGGCATCAGCGGCCGATCGGAGGCGAAAAGGTGAGGAGGCATACAATACATCATGCATGTTGCTTAGGTTTGGGACGATGTTGGCCTCTTTGGGGGTTCCTTGGGGCTCTGGGAGCACTTGGAGTTTTCTTGGGGCCTCTCGGTGGTATGTCGGAAGCTACCATGAACCGTCTCCTGCAACATTGAGCCAGCTTGGGAGCTATCTTGTGGCGTCGTCGGCCATCTTGAAGCCATCTCGGGCCAAAGTGACCCTCTGTCACATCACCCCCCCTTCCCTCTCCCCGTCCAGGCCCTGAGGAAGGGGTAGGGGGTGGGTAGGGGGTGTGTCAAGCTACCCACAAGAAGCCCCAAGCCGTCTCGCTGCTCACTTTCACCGGTCCTCCCAACACAAAAGGCGCACCCGAGTCTGAGCAAGAACAGGGACCGCCATCGACAGCTTTCGGACACCAATGCAGACGGCAGCAGCCAGGTGCGCGACGCCGGCGAGGTGCGCCGCACGTGCCAGGGCACCCCCATGATTCCTGCCGAAATTACCACCACTATCCCCGAGGGCTCGACCCATTCCTTGGGACAGGTTCTTCATCAAGGGTCGTTGTTTGACGGTCCCGAGGCCCAGTAGGGGGCCCCCGGAGGCCGAAAATGGCGGAAAACCTGCCGTCGTGATTTCTTCACGGCCCGAGGGGGCCCCGGTTTCCGTCATGCCAAGATCAAAAAGACAGCCGTCGATTGGGAGGATGGGGCTGCGAGACATGCTGGGACCATATATACTACTGCCGCGCACGCTGTGAAGGTGCTTCCTTGCACAGTCGTGCCCTGTCCCTTCCCAGCCCCTTCCTCCCGGCACGACAGCTATTTCTCTCGCAAGGCTGCCACCATCCAGGGCCTGCCTCCCCCCGCTCGGCGGCGCTGCCGCGCCAGGCGCGGAGGAGGCAGAGGCCGGCGGCGGCGCGGCGGACGCGGCCCCGCCGCGCGAGTGCGGCGAGGCTGCTGCTGAGGGGGGGGGGGGGCCGCGGTTCGGAGACGCCCCGCCCGCCCCTCCCACGGGGGAGGCGGAGGAGGAGGAGGAGGAGGAGGAGGAGGAGGAGGAGGAGGAGGATGCGTATACACCTTCCGTCCCTGCATCCCCGCAATCATCGTCATCATGTTCCTCCAGCTCATCGTCCTCCTCTTCCTCCTCCTCCTGCTCCTCCTCCTCCTCGCCCTCATCCTCCGCTTCCTCCGCCTCCTCCTCCTCCGCCTCCTCCTCCCTCCTCCTCCTCCTCCCACTGTTTCTCCTCCTCGCCTCCTCGTCCTCCTCTTCCTCTCCTCCTCCTCCTCCTCCTCTCCTCCTCCTCCTCCCACTGTTCCTCCTCCTCCTCCTCCTCCTCCTCCTCCTCCTCCTCCCCTCCTCCTCCTCCTCCTCCTCCTCCTCCTCCTCCTCCTCCTCCCTCTCGTCCCCCTCCGCCTTCTCCTCCGCCTTCTCCTCCTCCGCCTCCTCAGCTCCCTCCTCCTGGGTGGACCTCTTCCCCCTCCTCCGTGCCGCGTCGCTCATCCCGCTCCCTCTTTGCCCTCCTCCGCCTGGGCCTACCTCCGTCCCCCATCCCCCATCCCTCTTTCCACCCCGCGCCACGTGCCGCAGCCAGCCAGGACGAGGGGGGGTCGCCCCGGCCGAGGAGCAGGTGTGACCCAGAGAGTCGGACGGGCGGGAGGGCCGAGTCGAGTGCCCACTCCTCGCCGCCAGCAGGATCGGTCTTCGGCCGGGTCGTTGGCGCGTGTTGGAGCAGGGGCCGGCCGCGGAGGTCTCGCCCTTTCACGAGTGGTCTTCGTCTTCGGGCTTGGTCTCGATATGTTCCCTCCTGCGCTGCCCGTCTGCCCTGCATCGAGCTTCCTTCCTCCCCCGAAGGGCCCTTGAGACCCGCGCCGACTTTGGGCTCGCGGCTGGGCTGGGGGGCCCTAATTTGTGGGTGTGGCCCTCGCTCTTTGCGGCGTGTGTCCCCCTCTGGCGCGCGCCCCCCGGCCGAAGCCAGACCCCATCTCGCCAGCAGGCGGCGCAGACACAGGGGCGCATCGTCGCACAAGTCCGCAATGCGCCATCCCCTGGCTCCCAGGGGCCGCCTCGGCACCAAAGGGCGCCACAGAGAATCGCCCTGGCAGGTAGCTTCGGGCTGCCCAGGGAACCGCCCTGGCAGGAATTCACGGGCTGCCCATGGGAGCGCCCTGGCAGGTAGCTTCGGACTGCTCAGCGGCACGCTCGGGCAGGTAGCTTCGGGCGGTTCAGGGAAGCGCTCTGGCGGGTAATTCTATGCTGGTTTGCTATTAGAGCTTAAGCTGCGTCGGAAATACACCGCAGAAGATGCGAGAAAGCAGGGAGGAACCTTCTGCCTCGGAGAGGTCTGGCGGACGCAAAAGGCGTGGCGGAACCCATGGCAGCAGAGCGTGCCAGCACTCGGCGTCCGAGGAGCCCGAGAGGTGGGGCGGGCGTTGCCGCCCTGCCCACGACATCGCCCGAAGCACGAGGGAGCCGGACCTCGGCGCCGCGGCGGCCCCGCGCGGCCAAGAGGCGCATGCATCTGCCGCTGCTGCAGTCCGAGTGCACGTGCCTGAACCGACCAGCAGCGCCCGCCCGCGCGGACCTCGGCGCCGCGGCGGCCCCGCGCGGCCAGCGCGGGCGGCGGCGCACCCTTCTCAGGCGCCGCTCGGCGGAGGGCCTCCGCGGCGAGCTGCGCCTCGAGGGCGCGGAGGGCCTCCGCGGCGAGCTGCGCCCCGAGGGCGCGGAGGGCTCCGAAGGGAGGGCCGCCGGCCCCGGGCCGCGGCCGTGCCCGAGGAGAGCCTCGCCATGCCGACGCGTGGCGGCCGCGAGGGGGAACGGCCAGTCCCCAGCCTGGCTGGGCGAGGGGCCCGAACCCAGACGCGATCACGTCGTGAAGAAGTCAGGACGGGAGGTCTCTGGCTCTTCTCGGCCCCCGGTCTGAAAGCAGCTCAGGGTGCTAGCCCCTGATCCTCTCCTGCCTTGTCCTCCTCCTGTTCGCCCACCTCGGCTCGAGTGCGAGGGTGGGCGGGTTTTCTCCTACCGAGCGCCAGCGGACAGCTAGCGAGGACGCGCTGGGGAGCGCGTTCGACATCACGTGGACAAAAGGTGTCCACTCACATCATCGTCGATAATCCAGCGATTATCTACATCTATTTCGACAGTAACTTCATCGTAGTTTTTGTGGAGAAGCACTACGATTCAGATTGGTAGCGGAGCCTATGGTCTCCGACACCACGGGCTCCCACTGGTCTCGGTCTGATGGCGGCGGCCGCGATGACGACGCTCGGGCCCAGCACGTCAACGACCACGAAAGTTGATGTGCCGACCTGGAACGGAGAGGCAGAGAAGCTCTCGAGCTACAAGTTCGAGGTGGCCATGTTCACGAAGAGCATCAAGGTGGCGGATCGTTACATGTGCGGGCCACAGCTGGTGCGTGCACTGGAGGCACGAGTCCGGGCAGCGGTGGAGAGCTGCCCAACCATCAACGAGGTCGACGAGATCGACAAGGACGGCAACCTGGTCGGATGGAACAGAGTCTTCGGCTACGTGCTGGAAAAGTTGGACTACACCAGCCTGAATGACACGGCGGGACTCCTCGCCGAGGAGTTCTTCCTGGAGATCGGGAGGAACGCCGGCGAAACCTTCCAGGACTGGGCGGCACGATTCGAGAAGAAGGAGCGAGAGCTGCTGGTACAGCTCAAGGCCATCGACAGCGACGTACAAGAGGTGATAGCGAAGCCCCTGCGTACATGGTGGTTTTTGAGGAAGTCCAGACTGACACCAGTACTGCGAGGGGAAGTCACGGCTACCGCGGGCGGCGACTATGATTACGGAAAAGTCTATAAGACCCTGCTGACACGGTTCCCAGCAGAGGCGCTGACCGAGCTCGACGGCAAGCAGCGAAGCAGGACCTTCTACGAAGATGACGTCGACGACCCAGAGGACGAGATCGGTGGGGATGGTTAAGATGAGATTCATGACGTGGTTGAGCAGCTGATAAGTCTCGCCGAAGATGAAGAAGAAGAAGAAGAGACACCTGCAGAGGACCAAGCCGCAGACAATGAGGTGTTTGCGGAGTTCAAGCAGGTGGGTAGGAGTTTCAATGGCGCTCGAGACCTCCTGCGACGGCTGCGAGTTTCTCGGGACTACTACCCGGTGGTGGCGACGAAGGAGGAGCAGCAGCGACGGGGGCCACCTCCTCCGGCAGCTGGCCGGGGGCACTTCCGCCCCGAACGGGGCCGTGGGCGCGGGCGCTTCAGAGGCCGCCCCAAGTTCGAGACGGCGCCCGGCGGCGGACGCCGCGACCTGTCCAAGATGAAGTGCATCGCATGCCACGAGTACGGACACCGCGCAGTGGATTGCCCCGACAGGTTCAACGATAAGAGTAAGGACAATGGCGAGCGCGGCAAGAGCAGCACTCACACTGGCTTCATCCTGTCGGCCCTGGACGAGTACGTCTACCTCCTGGAGCGGGACGGCATCTGGGCCCTCCTCGACATCGGGGCCACCAGGAGCCTCGGCGGGATCGAGGGAATCGAGAACCTGATGTACGAGATGCTGGACCAGCACAACGTGGAGTTCGAGACCTACAGCGACTCGTGTTCCTTCACCTTTGGTGATGGACTCTCCAAGAACTCAGTGGGCACAGTATCTGGTGAAGTCTTCCTGGGAGGCGAGCTGCTCAAGATCAACCTGTCGGTGATGCCGAATCGCGTGCCGATCCTCCTGGGCATGGACATCATGACGGACATTCTGAAGGCTGTGGTCGACTGTGGCCGGAACCGGATCGGCCTTCCGACTCTCGGCAAAGTGTTCTACTGCGAGCGCCTCTCCAGCAACCACATGGCCGTCAACCTCTCGACGCCGCAGCGGTGGAAGGAGGTGCCCTTTTCCTTGCCAAGCACCATATGCCTGACCTCAGAGGCGACGGTGCCGGACGCCTTGAAAAAGGAGCTGCCCGAAGAGGTGGCCCCTTGCCACTGCAGCGTCGCGGGGCACCAGGGACAGCACCCCCTGGTGATGGTCGCGAGAGGTAATCCTTCTCAATCGACATCTCCATCATCGGGGGGGCCCAGCCGATTCGGTCAGCGATGCGACGAAACACCTACCAGAGCGACGGAAACATCGACGGCGCGGACACCTACCAGAGCAACGGAAACGACGGAGTCGAGCGGTCTGACCAGAGCAACGGAAACATCGGGATCGTCCGGCCGTTCGATCGGGTCTTCGAGCCGGTCATCAGCCCCATTGTCGTCGGAATCCCCAGCGTCAGCATCACCGGCACCATCACCACCGTCACCGTGGCCACAGCCACGATCGGCTCGATTCAGTAACTCGGCAGCAGCCAAGACCAGCAGTCCATTTCCATATCCATATCCGCGCCAGGCAGATGCCATGCAGCGGTTCTTCGCAGCCTGCGTCTGTTCCTGTGCCTGCGCCACCGGTGGCCCCATGGAGCCGTCCGAAGGTGCGCGCAACAGCTATGGCGCCAGCGCCGACGTCAGCAGCGCTGGCGACCCCAGAGTCCAAGACGAGCTACAACCCGGCAGGGAAGTGCTCGTGCTGCGGAGCTAGACGAAACGCGGGTGCAGTTGTTTCGGGGGCAACAGCCATCAGCGCCTCCGTCGGCTGACAGCCCGGGGAGCTCAGGGAGGACCAGCGGCCCCAGAGAGCTCTTCGGGAACGACGCCACCGATCAGCGCGTGCTCGTGCTGCAGGACTCCAGGGAAGACGATCCGAGGATGCAGCTGCCGAGGGGGAAAGAGCCACCAGTGTGCGAAGGACCCGGCCCAGGTGATCCGGGATCAAGCACTGGCTCTACGCTGGCGCCGCCTCTCCAACAAGCTCCTGTCCCCGGAGATCAAGGACGGGTGGAAGTTCACAGAAGTGATGCTCGACGACTCGGACCTGGTGGAGACCGAGACGAAGAGGAAACGCTGAAGGCGCTCAGCGACCAGGACCTGCAGAAGTTCTATGAGTGCCACGACCAGGTACATAATGAGATCTACAAGAGCGTCGCCGAGGAGCTCACGTAACTGTCCAAGCCGTACCGCATCGACCTCATGGAGGTGTGCTGCCCCGAGGACTCAGGCTTGAGCAAGGCCGTGCAGGAGCAGGGCGGCAAGGTCTTCAGGTGCGGGCTCTTCAACGGGATAGACATGGCCACGGCGACCGGGCTCCGACGGGCGAAACATCTACTTCGGCGGCTTCGACCACGCCGACTAGTCCTGTCCCCGCCGTGCACCGCCGACTGCCCTCTCCAGAATCTCAACCATCGGACCGACGGCCAGAAGCTCCAGTACCTGGCCAAGGTGCGCAGGGCTCGACGGATCCAGCGCAACTGCAAGAGTCTCTGGGAGGAGGCACAGAAGATCCCCGGCTGCCACACGGACCTGGAGCAGCCAGCCACCAGCCGTAGCTGGTCACAGTCCCCGGCCATCAAGGCGATGCGCGAGCAGATGCACGAGACCGTGATACACGGCTGCGCGTACGGACTGCGAGAGGCCCAGTCTGGCCTGCTGATGAAGAAGGCCTGGCGGATCTGCTCGACGGACTCGGAGTTCGGCGCAAAGCTCGGCAGGACCTGCTCAAACCGACCTGGACGGGGTGATAATCACACCCACCGACCCATCGAAGACGGACAAGTGGTGGCTCAGACAGCGTACTATCCCCCAGCCCTCTGCAAGGCCTGGGCGAAGCACATCCTGCGCAGGAACAACACCGTGCAGTACGGCAGGGAGATATTCGCCGGACTGGAGCAGATTCCCGAGGACGCCGAGGGAGAACAAGCAGCAGCCATGGGGGACGACCAGCCGCCAGACGAGGATGACGACATGGACGAGGAGGCCATCATGAAGGGCCTCGGAATCTCAGAGACTCCGACGAAGAAAGAGGAGTTGGAGATCGAGCAGCGGCTGACGAGACTCCATCGGAACCTCGGCCACCCGAGCAACAAGACGTTGTACAAGATGCTGAAGGCCTCAGGAGCTCCCGTTCAAGTACTACGAGGAGCCCTTCGTCTCCAGTGCCATGGATGCCACACGGGCCAGCTGCCGAAGGCCGTGAAGGTGGCCTCAGGTATCGAGCTGCCCGGAGTGCTCGAAGTGCTGGCCTCGGACGGCCTCGAGTGGCTTTCCCCGAAGCTGGACACGTACATGATGACCCTGAACCTGGACGAGGGATCTGGCCTGACAAGCGTCACTTACCACGGGCAGAAGGGCGCGCGCAACGGCAACAGGTCCCCTGCGGAGGTGATCGACACGTGGAACACCTGGTGTAGCTACTACCGTCGTCCTAGTCTCCTTCGACTGGATCCAGAAGGGTGCCACCGCGCTCAAGCAGTGGCCAAGTGGTGTTCCGACCGCGGAATCGAGCTCTGGATCGCCCCAGGTGAGGCCCACTGGCTGATGGGCAAGGTCGAGAGGCGCATCCAGTTGTTCAAGCGGCTGATGACGAAGCTGGCGACCCTGGACCCCGATTGTCCCGTCGAGGAGCTGATCTCCTGGGCCGTGGGGGCGATCAACAGCATGGACAAGGTGGGCAACCACTCCCCGTTCGAGCACGTGATGGGGGTCACCGGGATGCCCGCGTCCAGCAATCCCTTCGCCATCATCGACGGAGACGCCGGCGAGGCGCAGGAGCAGCGACGCCTGCTGGCGCGCAAGAGCTTCCTGGATGTGGAGTATGCCGAACGTCGCCGTCATGCAGAACATGCTCGGAACCGGGTCTATCAGACCTGGCACCCTGGCGACCTCGTCTGCTTCTGGCGCAAGGGGAAGGGCCTCGAGAACCGCCCCGGCAAGAAAGGGGGGTGGCATGGCCCTGCACGGGTCCTCGTCCAGGAGAAACGACACGTGGACGGGCGGACGCGCACCACATCTGTGATCTGGGTCTCTCACGGATCAGTACTATTCAGGTGCGCCCCAGAACAACTACGAGCAGCTTCGGAGGCAGAGAAGATGATCACTGAGCTGACGCGTCAATCGAACCCCGGCAAAACCATGACGGAGATCCTGGAAACGGCAAAGGCAGGGACCTTCGAAGACCTCCTGGGGCAGAGCCGACCAGATCTTCAAGACTACGAACCTCCATCACAACCTGCGATGGAGATCCCCAACGAGACCGTGGCAGCTGAGCCGCCACCCTCGGTGATGGACGAGGCGACGCCACCGGTCAGCGGAGGCGGTGAACCAGCCGCCGAAGCAGCCCCGTCACGACAGGTCACCCCCAGCTCAGCCACACAGCCAGAGGGGGAATCGAGCGAGAAGCCAGACGGGAGATCGCGCTCACCTCCATCCCGGTCGGTTGACCAGGCGCCAGCTCCTGCACCACCGCCGACTCGTGGAACCTCCTCGAGACCAGCCGCCCGACAGAGCTCACGGGCCCCGTCAAGGAGCGCAACCGGAGGAGCATCCTCCTCAGCAGCGGGCGCCGCTGCCCGCGGGGAGTCACGGCCGCGCTGGCGCATGACCCATCGGGGGCCCGAGCTGGACCTTCACGTGCCACCGGAGAAACGCCAGAGACCTGACCCAGAGGAGGAGATGAGCAAGGCAATGGAGGACGAGTCTCCCCTCCTGGTCGACCTCCTCCACGACAAGCTGGACATGGCGCTCGGCACCGACGAGCGGCAGACCGTCTACTTCGAGTCACTGGTGGACGAGAACGCGTTGGTAGACGGCCAGCGAGGTCTGATGAACCACATCCTGGACAGCTACGTCGCCAACCAGCGCCGCAAGGACAAGATCGAGCTAACGTGGTCCAAGATGAACCCCGGCGAGCGGAAGGAGTTCGAGGGAGCCATTGCCAAGGAGACGGCCAACTGGATCCAGCACCAAGGACTCCGTCCAGTGCCCATCTCTCGGGTCAAGGACGCCGCGGACGTGATTCGGGCGAGGTGGCTCTTCACTCGGAAGGCGGACGGCAAGGCGAAGGCTCGCCTCGTCCTCCTCGGCTACCAGACCAAGGATTTGGGCCAGGAGCCCACGGCAAGCCCGACGGCCTCGCGACGGGCCCGGAACGTGATGCTCACAGTGGCGGCGGCAAACCACTGGAAGCTGATCAAGGGCGACGTGACCTCGGCCTTCCTCCAGGCCAACGAGCTGGACAAGGACCTCTTCATCGAGCCCGACGCAGTGCTCAGGAAGGCGTTCAACGTGAAGGACGGCGAGATCCTCCAGGTGATCAAGCCCGGGTACGGCATTGGCGAGGCCCCCCGTCAGTGGCGGGAAACCGTGAAGGGCGATTTCGCAAGGCTGGGTATGCAGGCGTGCGAGTTGGAGCCTTGCCTCTGGAAAGCCCGCTGCTCCAAGACGGGCGCCCTCATCGGCATGGCCATGGCGCACGTGGACGACTTTATCCTGGCCGGCGACACGTCCCACCCCGAGTGGCGGGCCATGGTCCAGCAGATCCGGGGGCTCTACAAGTGGGGCACCTGGGAGGACATGAACGAGGGGCTCTCCTCCCTCGAACAGTGCGGCGTCACGATCGAGGAGAACGAGAAGGGCTTCTTCCTCCACCAGCAGTCGTATGTGGACAAGATCAAGGAGGTCCAAGCCGCCAACGGGAGCAAGCGACGCACCACAGACACTCTCTCAGACGCGGACAAGACGGTGCTTCGTGGTTTCTGCGGCGAGATCTACTGGCTCGGCGTGAACACCATGCCTTTTCTGCTCTCGTGGGTCGCGGACCTGCAGTCCAAGATCCCCACCGGGACCTACAATCTCTTTACAGCAGCCAACAACATCGTCAAGTTGGTCAAGCAGAGCCGCCATATGGGGATGCAGATCTACCGCCGCGACCTGTATGACCTGGCCCTCTTCACCTGGTGCGACGCTGCGTGGGCAAGCCGCCCCGATGGCCACTCCCAGGGAGGACACATCACAGCTCTCTCAGGAAAGGCGGCCATGAACGGCAAGCTATCGGAGTTCACCGTCCTGGACTGGGGCTCCCGGAAGCTGCGGCGCGTGGCTAGGTCGAGTCTCGCAGCAGAAGTGCAGGAAGCAGGCGACGCAGAAGGGGAGCAGTGCATGGTACGGCTGGTGCTCGCGGAGGTGCTCTACAACAAGTCGCCGGTGCGATCCAGGACGGAGGCTCTGCGCAGCATCCCCGCCATCCTGGTCACGGACTGCAAGGCCTTCTATGACGGCGTGGTGCGATCTCAGTCGGCCGGGCTGGGATTGGAGGAGCGGCGCACGGCCATCGAGGCCCTGGCCCTTCGCAACGCCCTGGACGAGGGGCAGACGACGGTGCGCTGGGTCCATTCCCACGCGCAGATCGCTGACGGCCTGACCAAGGCCAGTTGGCAGGCCTTTGGTGTGATTCGGGCCTTCCTAGAGAAGCAGGAGTGGCGGCTCGTGTGCGATGAGCAGTTCCTGAGCGCTCGGAAGCGAGCGGCACTCGGCAAGGGCATTTTCGACGAGACATCATCCACAGATTCAGCCGCTGCCCGACGTATTCTCGAGGAACGGCGCCTCACACGCCAAGGGCAGATCACGGATAGCCTGAAGGGGAACACAGAAGGCCCAGAGAACTCAACCGCGACCACGACCTGCGACTACCTGATCATGATCCAGAAACTGCAGCAGGAGGTGGCAGCACATCGGGAGTTCATCCAGAAGCATTCTGTGAGCACAGTGTCTGACTGTGCGGATGACAAGGCAGCCCTTTTTCCCCCTGTCTGAAAGCAGCTCAGGGTGCTAGCCCCTGATCCTCTCCTGCCTTGTCCTCCTCCTGTTCGCCCACCTCGGCTCGAGTGCGAGGGTGGGCGGGTTTTCTCCTACTGAGCGCCAGCGGACAGCTGGCGAGGACGCGCTGGGGAGCGCGTTCGACATCACGTGGACAAAAGGTGTCCACTCACATCATCGTCGATAATCCAGCGATTATCTACATCTATTTCGACAGTAACTTCATCGTAGTTTTGGTGGAGAAGCACTACGATTCAGACCCGGGGGGGGGGGCCCTCGCCGGGCCTCGGGGCCGTCAAAGCAGCGCTTCAGGACGAAAAACCGCTCCCTGGGGAAAGGGTCGGGACTTGCGGGGACGCCGTCCTGGAACAATCAGGACGTGGCATGTCTGGGAACCTCTGATGGTCCACGTCGTGGGCAAAGTCACGACGTCGGACCTCTGGGGTCATCGTCGCGCTCGAGGCCTCAGCTGCGGCACGCTTGCGACCGCGCCCGTGTCCCCGCCTCCCGCCCGCGCGCTCGGTGCCAGGCAGGCGGGCGGGGCTTTCCTCGGTGCGCTTGCTGTCTTGGCAGCGCTCCCGATCGGGACTTGTGCGGCCATACGGCTGATGGACAAAATCCTGCATCTTATGTCGACGTGTGTGAACACCCCATGCGCCCCCAATTCAGTATGGATTTTTGTGAGCGCCCCCCACGCCCCCAATGTAAGATTGGCGGGCTGCGCCGCGATGTGTCGATCTGCCGACTGGCCAAAAGCCCGCGCCACGCTGGCATACCAACCAGCACTGAATCGGGTGCAATGGGTGCGTTGAAGTTTGCGCCGGCACCCTGGTCGCCCGAGTCGTTCAAGCTTTCGTCCATCGACCGTACGGCTGCTCGTGGACTTCGGCATGCTTGCGGCCGCGGGCGGTCTTCCCAACCGTCTTCGGCGTGCTCGTGGTCCCGTCAGCGCTATGACTTCGGCTCACGCCGGTGGTCGGGGCAGCGCTCCTGGTCGTCTTCGGCGCTCCTCGCCGTGCAAGCGCTGATGGGTAGCTTCGGTTACAGCCGCGGCCGGGCCGTGCTTATCTTCTGCGTGCCTGCGGCCGTGCAGCTACCCGCGCACAGCTCCACCAGCTGGCAGTCTTCCCCATGTTCCCAGCCGCTTTCGGCCCCGCAGCGCGTGAAGACGAACTCCCTGCAGCGGCCGCCATGGCCTCGCCAAGGCAGGGGCGATGGGCGAGCACATGAGGATGTGGAAGGGTCCCACGAAGATGGAATTCAGCGATGGAGACCAGCCACGCCCGCGAGGGTAATTAATGATGCGGGCGCGCGTGGTTGGCAGTGCAGAGCACTCTGTTCCTCCTCCCATGCGCTCCGCACGCGAGGGTCTCGCAGAGCAGCTTTTCTTGCCCCTTGACGTGGGCCTCGCTTGTGCCAGCGCGGGCAGCGGGGGGACTTCCAGCGGGGCGGCGCAATCCGCATTGGGCAGCCAGAAGGGGTCGGACACGCGACCCTCTGAACAGTTCGTTTGCCTTGGTCTGATGCCCTTCAACTTTGTATATCCAGGGCTGGCTTGCGGGATCATCAGGCACCGATGGCCTCGCCTGGTGACCCTGGCGTTTGTCCATTCTCTTGCGCGAGCCTGTGGGCGTGGTCGCGGGTGCACTTGCTCACCAGCCCAGGCGGTGCTTGCGCGCAGCACCAGGTGGTCGATCGGGACCCCTAGTTGTGCATAACTCGTCGGTTTCCTCCACGGACTGCGCTCCTTTCTGCTCTGCAGATGTCGCGCAGACCCAGAACATCTGTGCATGTCCACCATCGTCCTTGCAGTTGCCGGTCTCCATCGGTTACGTGTATATGCGTGAGCAGTGCGTTCTCTTTCCCTACATCCTGAGTGGGGTTCTTGTTTTCCTATATCACCCTCCCCTTCTCCTTCTCCTTCTCTTCCTTCTCCGCTTCCTTCACCTATACCATACCATACCTGCCGTACCCTACGAATACCATACGCATTATACGATTACGTACTATACTATACCATACCCTACCATACCCTACCATACCATACCATACCATTCGTGCCCCTCCCACCCCTCCAGGGAGGCCCCGCCCGAGCGAGGAGGGCATCCCCAAACCATAGTATTTACCAGGTTTCGTGCCCCTCCCACCCCTCCAGGAAGGCTCCGCCCGAGCGAGGATGATATCCCCAAACCACACAATTAACAAGGTTTCGTGCCCTTCCCTCCTCTCCAGGGAAACCCCGCCCGAGCGAGGAGGGTATCCCCAAACCATATGATTTACAATGTTTCGTGCCCCTCCCACCCCTCCATTGGGGGCCCGCCCGCGCAAACCACTATTTACAAGGTTTCGTGCCCCTCCCACCCCTCTAGGGAGGCCCTGCCCGAGCGAGGAGGGTATCCCCAAACCGTATTATTTGCAATGTTTAGTGCCCCTCCCACCCCTCTAGGGAGGCCCCGCCCGAGCGAGGAGGGTATGCCCAAACCGTACTATTTACACGGTGTCGCGCCCCTCCCACCTCTCCAGGGAGGCTCCGCTCGAGCGAGGAGGGTATCCCCAGATCATACAATTTATATGGTTTCGTGCCCCCCCCACCCCTCCAGGGAGGCCCAGCCCGAGCGAGGAGGGTATCCCCAAACCATATTATTTAATCGCCTCGCTCATTCCGCCGGCCCTCGAGCGCTCTGTGGGGCCTCTTTGAAGCCTCTTGGGGGCCTCTTTGGGGCCTCCTAGGGGCCTCTTGAGGGGCCTCTTGGTGATCTCTTGGGGCTCCTTGGCGGCGTCTTGGGGCCCCCTTGGGCCTCTTGGGGGGCTCTTGGGGGCCTCTTGGGCCAGGGTAGTCGAGTGCACCCCCCTCGGAGGCCACGATCCTCGTGAGGGGTGTCGAAAAAAGGCCCTCATAACCATCTCTGGGTAGACTTGGTCGGGCTGCGGTCGGGATACTTTTCGCCGTGGGACCCCCAGGGGCCGCCCCGCGCGCGCGAACTAGAAATATTGTTAACCAGTTGCCGAAAATCTTAGCACGGCTCTGGCCCGTTGGGCCGGCGAATTGACAAGGTTTCGTGCCCCTCCCACCTCTTCAGGGAGGCCCTTCCCGAGCGAGGGGGATATTCCCAAACCGTACAATTTACAACGTTTCGTACCCCTCCCACCTCCCAAGGGAGGCCCCGCCCGAGCGAGGAGGGTATCCCCAAACCATACTATTTACAAGTTTTCGTGCCCCTCCCACATCTCCAGGGAGGCCCAGCCCGAGCGAGGAGGGTGCCCCCAAACCATACTATTTACGAGGTTTCGTGCCCCTTCCGAGCCCTCCAGGGAGGCCCCGCCCAAGCGAGGAGGGTGTCCCAATCCATTCTAGACAGCATGTTTAGTGACCCTTCCAGCCCTCCATGCAGGCCCCGCCTGAGCGAGGAGGGTATCCCCAAACCATACTATTTACAAGGTTGCGCGCCCCTCCCACCCCTCCAGGTGCACTCTGCCGAGCGCGGCCTCGTTTGACCGCGTCCTACACGTCCATCCTCCCCGCCATGCTGATTCTCCACCTCGCCTCCGTCGGCCCTTCCATGACAATATGTGGACACCATAGGCCTTCATCTTCTATCGCTGCTTTTAGTATGCCCTCGTGATCCCGCCAACCCCGTAACACCCTTATGTGGGGAATTCCGTTAGCATAATTGATTGGAGGTTCGTTTGTCATCATCTCATGATGGCCCCCCCCCCCTCGCCCCCAGGCTGACGACTAGACCCCGCGGGGCGAGAAACGTGTCTTTTGAATCACGCACGCCAGGGTGTCGTTGGCCACGGCGCCGGGTCTGCCTCGAGACTCTGGGCAGAGCGCACCCCAGGCGAGGCCCAGGGCCTCATCTCTGACCCCTGGCCAGGGGCCACGCCTGGGACGGTTGGGCTCGGGGCCGGGGCCGTGTGCAACCGCGGCCCGCCAGCGGAGGAGGAGGAGGCGGAGGAGGAGGCGGAGGAGGAGGAGGAGGAGGAGGAGGAGGAGGGGGAGGAGGAGGAGGAGGAGGAGGAGGAGGAGGAGGGGGAGGAGGAGGGGGAGGAGGAGTAGGAGGAGTAGAGGAGCAGGAGGAGGAGGGAGCAGGAGGAGGAGGAGGAGGAGGAGGAGGAGAGGAGGAGAGGAGGAGGCGGAGGCGGCCCCAGCCCCGTGCCCCGGCCCCGTTCCGACCCCCCCCTGCCTTCTGGTCTTGACCAGGGGGCGGGGGAGGGTGGATTCTGCCCCCCCCCCCCCCCCCGCGGTTTCCGGGCAGGGGGGGGGGGAGCGCCCCTTCTCCCCCTTTGCGGTTTCCGCGAGAAGGGTGGGGAACGTGTTGCCCCCCCCGTTCCCAGCTGGGCAACGGTGGATTGCGCTCCCTCGTCCTGACAGTCCGCTGTGGCCCGATGCGTGCAGGGCGCTGCGGTGCAGCTGCTCGCGGCCGATCCAGCTTGACCGATGCGGCCCGATCCGACGCGCGTGCCAATCTGGTCGGTTTTCCCGATTCGATGCTGGCCGATGCTGCTAGATTGCGAAGGCCTTACGGCCGGTGCCGCCGTCCCTGAATGACGACGACGACGACGACGAGCGCTCTCGGGGGCCCTCTTGGGGGTAGTTTGGGGGCCTCCTGGGAAGCTCTTGGGAGCCGCTTGGGAGCCGCTTGGGAGCCTCGTGGGGGCCTCTTGGGGCTTCCTGGGGGCCTCTCGGGGGCCTCTTGGGGGGCTTCTTAGGGGCCTCTGGGGGCTGGCCGATGCTGCTAGATTTCCCTCCGTTCGCGGTGCGGCGCTGCGGTCCGACCAGATCTTCGAGGCCTGGTGCGGCCGCGGCGGCGAGGAGCCTCTCGGAGACCCCCCTGCGGGCCCCTCGAGACGCCCAAGCTCGCAGCTCTGAGTTCGACCCTCAAAGAGGGCGACGCGGGAGGCGTCGCGGGATTGTATCCTTTGCGCGCTCGTCCTCTGCGCCCTCTGGCGACCCCCGGCGGGAGTAGGAA